AACTGTATGAAGTTAATATTATAATATCTGTTTTCCCAACCAGCACTGAGGCTGTTTGCTTTTCATACCAAAATGATCGTTCATATTTCTTTAACTGTTAAATTTAATGTTTTATGTTCCATGAATTTTTATTTGGTTCATTTCTTTTCAATTTGATTGAGAGGAAATCCTAGTATATATTGTATACATGGCATCTTCTACAGCATCCAAGCAGGTGGATGTGCCTGCACACAAGGAAGAAATCTGTTCTAGAAGCTGTTCTCATAAGTTGCCCACATGAGATCCCCTGCCCTATGGTGTCTCCCCTGAAATGACCTGAACTGACTTCCTCACCTCATGGACAGAATAAAATACAGGTAAGGAATGTCACTGAAACCCCGCCAGCCATGTTCCAAATACTTTAGCCAGGACCCCTCCCTCATTGTCAAGGTAGCAGACGGCAGGCCGGATGTCGGCTCTCAGGATGTTCCCCAGGCTGCCATTCCTCAGTCCCCAGGAACAAGCCAAGTATCCCTGAAATGAACTCACATCCCATCCCACATCCTGCTGCACATAAATTGGGCCAGGACTCCAGACTCAGCCTCAAAGCACCAGGTGAGAGATCTGCCCAGATCCCCATCCATCCAGACTTGACAGAATCCCTCAAATAAATGGAGTCCCTACCCCTTCCAGACCTTCAGTGGAGTATGATCTGGGAGGGCTTTACAGACTCTCCAGTATCCCTTCAACAGAAATGGATTTAGACCCAAAGACCACGAGGACACTTGCCCAAATGCCGACCCCTGACCTCCAGGCTCTCCTTGGGAGACCTCACCTAAATACTGTCCAGGCCTGCACTGTGCCCTGTCCTCCACTGTCCAGCTGTGTTCCAGGCCAGTTCCTCCAAACAGGCTTCCTGAGATTAGACAATGAACAGTGGAGCCTCAGGTTCACAACAGCTCCCTCATTCCAGCCTCCTGAGAAGCCAGCCCCTCATGGTCAGAGTCCTCACGTCTTAAAGAGTTCTGAGGAACGCTGTCCCTATATCCTGGCGTATCCACGTGCGGCACCTTTTGGTCAACTCTGCCTCTGAGCAGAGTGACCATGGGTGACAGAGGAGACAGCCTCCAGCCTCAGGTGTTGTGGAAGGGACTGTTGGATTGAGTAGGGGGGGATGCAGGGAACACCTAAATACCTCCCAGAGAGTCCTATCCTTCCTCCTCTTCGTAGAAGGGAACCAAATGATGGTCCCACCCTCCGTTGGTTTGTTGGTTCACAACCTCAGGAGTTCCTGGGTAAAATTTGAAGCTGGCCTCCACACATGGAGGTCAGGGAAAGACCGAAGAAAAGAGAAGACCACTCCAGATTGGTAGGTTACAGTTTTAATAAGCAAAGGGAACTTACATGCAAGGCATGACTTGGGCAGCTGCAAAATGAATCAATCTGAATACCAGCCACCAGGATCTTTGTATAGAGGCCTTAAAGGGGTTCAGTCACATTTACCATTGGATGGTCTCAGCATGTTGCACTCTCAAAGCTGCATCCTTGAAATGGTTTCTAGTATGGGCACAGTGGGCAGAACATACATTCCAAGGACGGGGAAGGGGCGAGGAGCTTTCTACAGCCTGGGTCATGTCCTCTCAGTGACCTCCTCCAACACCCTCATGACCTCACCTAACCCTAATTACCTCCAAGAGACCCCATCTGTAAACATCATCACACTGGAGGGCAGGGCTTCAACATAATGAGTTTGGGGAAGAGGGACACAGTTCAGTCCATAGTACCATGTCACTGGTTGAATGTTCTAGAGCCCAAGTTAGTGGAAAAACCATGTGGTTGCTGAAGAGAGTGGAACTGGGGCATGGGGCTCTCCTAGGGAGACCTTGGGCACACGTGCAGGGTTTCAGATGGAAACTCTGCTCGTACATGTGCCAGGTGGGGCAGAGATTGGTTCTGTGAGGGGCACAGGCCAGTCAGTGTCCTGTGCCCATGCATGGCCAATGTCACTGGGCATCACTGAGTGTCCACAAATCAGGTGAAGACTCAGCCATCAGAGTGTGCTCCTCAGCGACCCCTACGCCAAACGATGCTGACTCTAGCTCTCTCTGACCACCCTGACCAGAGGAGATATGCAGGCATTTAATGAGGAACTGCAATGTGACATCAGTGTTTGGGTGAGCCGAGCCTCACATCCAGAACAGACGCAAACACCCTAAAAGGAACCCATAAAACTTGACTATGCTCTCTGGAATCCTGACACTCTTAAGACAATTCCAGAGCCAACCTTCATTCTTTCCTCCATCGGCTAAAGTCGTTCTTCCTCCATAAATACCGGAATGAAATAATCCCTGACTGAGCAGGCATTCATACTTTCTCAGGAAGAGAGCTCCTTCAAAGAGTGACTGTGAACTTCCCTCAGGAGTACGCGGGCATCCTGATCCCTTCTCTGAGGACTCCGAACAGAGACATGGCACTTAAGACGAGAACCTGGTGTCTGTGGGTGAGTCTGTGTTGCCCTGTGTGTGAGGACCTGCCCTGGAAATGACTTGAGATCCCCCGGGACACAGAGCTCTGGGGCCTCTAAAATGTGTAACTGAGTCTGGATGTCAAGGTCAGCAGCCCATGGATTTTCATCACAAACTCACTGTTTGTGTTCTTCATCCCCCACTTTCTACCTCTGGGTTGTTCTCTTCACTTTCAACATGGCATGCTGAGAGTATTAATATACACATCCACACATGATCATATTTTCATCATGAAAGCAATGAGACAAATGGTATTTGAGCATTCCAAAGGCCTCAGCAGAACCTCAGGACAAAAGGCTAACAAATGTCTCAACACTGGGGGGCACCATATTCAGACTTCACACATTACACCCCCTCGTGTGCTCACATCCCCACGCGGAAATCAGATTCTCCAAGCTTAAGCTCCTTCATTCCACCACCCTAGAGCCAACAGAACAACTGCTCCATTCCACAGGAGCTCCCTACTTTGACTCATAGCACGTCTCTGCTCTCAGCTGGAGGCTTCCAGATGTTAGGACATTCAGGGTACTTGATGGGCAAATGTACTAGAACCAGAGACATCCCCAGGAGGGAAGGCATCATCATCCCTGGGTTGATGTGGGCACAGGCACCCCTACACATGCATTCCAGTCTACAGGGGCCACATACCCACCAGGCCATCAGAGTGACCCTCATCAAAATTCTCCTACAGTCATTATGGTTACATAGGGCAGTGTTTCTAAGGAATGCCTGGAAAATGGTTTTTCACTGTAATAATAATATAATGAAAACAGAAATAGAAGAAATTATTTCAATTCAGTCTCATTTCTTTTCTTTTCACTCCTCAGCTTTCATCGGATCTAATTCCCAGCCAGGGAAAGAGATTCAGAGGTGTGGGAAGACCTTGGTTTACTAAGACACCATCTTACGGGCTCAGCTTTTCATAAGGAGCTTCCAAATAATACACATCGACATGTGCACCCAAGAAAAATCACTTCAGTCGATGTATGGCCTCCCAAAGCACTCCGTATAAAGCAGAACCCAGAGGATTTGATGGAGGAGGTGGCTTGGAGGCTGGATGGCTTCCACTGGTGGAACTGTATCACTTGACTTCCATGTAAAGAGAGAGGGGGATAAAGAAAGACTAAATGGGGGAGAGGTTCATGTACCGGGATTCCTTGATCCCTTCTTAATCTGTGCCCAGCTCCTCACAGGTATGAGAGGAGGGAGGTGAGTTCAGATTAAGTAATCTCTGCCCTGGAGACCAGGAGGGATCGTGGGTAGGGCTCCCCCAACTCGCTCCATATGAACTCCACAGTGTTTACTGTTGCCCTGCCTGAGAACGTTATCTTCCAGAATTTAAACCCATTTGAGCCCAAATATTTAATATTAAAAAAATGTAAAACTAGAGAAATAGGTGTTACGAGAAAACCAGAAAGGTTCTTCTCTGGAAATAATCTTTGAGAAATCCTTCAGCCTGAATAGTTGGGATTTAGTCTTGCCAAATTCCCTCTAGCATGAACGTCAGAATTCACAAAGGAAACAGATGAAGATTTTCACTCACACACTTTCCATTAGGATTTATTAAGGGTATAAATGAGGCAACTAAACTTTGAAAATCCAGTTTCACTATGCTTTTTGGTGTTGTCAAAAAAGAGACGTTTCAGTGAGATGTATACAGAAATAATGAAAAATTAATACTTGCCCATACTCGACACAAAACATTGGGAGACAGAAAAAAAACACAGATTTAAAAAACCCTGATTTTTCAAAATTAAAAATGCTCTTTCGAGTAGTACCTCCGGAATAAAGAAAAATGTGAAATTACAACAGATTCAGGAAATACTAACTCCGGCAACTTGCAGAATGGCCTGCACATCAATCAGTCTTAAAGGTATGTGAATTTATCAACCTCAAGCCCTGCGCAGTAACACGAGGGCCTCAGCCGAGCATCCTCATGGCCCAATCCTGGGCCCGTGTGTCCCTCTGCCTCCCCGCGAACAGGGAGGAGAAATGTTAGAAATGTTAGCTACCCTCCGCGGTGGTCCGGCTGAACCCCTAGGTTCGCACAAGTGAATTTGGCGTTCACACTCTTTCTACCGGAAAGGAAACCACAATTTGATAGGCGGAGCCGCAGACGCCCCTGCCCCGCCCACGCCGCCGCAGGGGTGTCCCCGCAATCCGAGCGCCTCTCGCGGTCCGCGGGACTCTGGCACGCACGAAGGGTTATTTAAGCCGTTCTCACGCTGTTGCGAAGGAAACAACTCCGCATTCGGTATTACCGGCGCGCCAACGCTAAGCTTTTGCCTTAGCGTATCTGAGTCATTTAACGTGGCGTAGGGTGGGCAGCCCGGCGCCACAGGCCACCCCGCCACCTGGAGGCAAACGCCGGGACCCAAGCTCCGGGCGGAAGAACTTGCAGAACGGAAACGCCCTGGGGGCGGGGCGGAGGCTTGCATAAGCCACACCCAAGCCCTTCCTTCCAGACCCCGCCCCGTCCGAGGTCCCCGTTTCCGGCCGACCCGGATGCAGATTTCCCAAACGGAAGGGCTCTTTTCCCGGTGCGGGTTTCAGCGTTTCTAGTTGCAGCTGGCACGCTGATGGTCTGGGTGTTGCGGCCTCCACACCCGGAGTCCGGGCCCTCGCTAACTTGACAGTCCCCGCATCCGCCAGCCCCGCCCGCGGGGAGCCCGGCCTGGTCGGAAGACGTTGTGCTGCTGCACTGGATCCGCGTCTGTTTCCGGTAAACTGCCTCCCAGGCCGTTTCGCCCGCTTTTCTGCCTCCGTTTTTTTCACCGTCTCTCCCTGGCCCCCCGCGCGTGTCAAGGCCCCACTGGCGAGGTGCATTCTCGCCCTTCGCGGTACCGAGGGGGCAGCACCACGACGCCCTGCTCTCCGGATCCTGCAGACCCCAGCCCCCTCCTGAGTTCCTCTCTCCCTTCTCGCGTCTTTCTGGGGCCGGCCCTGCTGGTCCTTGGGCTCTCCACAGTCAGTTCCTCAGGGAGGCCCTGAGTCCCTTGCTGGGGCTTTCACCTGCCCCTGTCCTGTGGCACCCCTTGTTCTGTCCCGTCCCATCCTGCTGGCTGTGCCTGTCAGGTATTGTTTACATTCCCGATGAGCCACCACAAAGCGTGCTTCTGGACAGGGGCATCTTCATTCTGTTCCTGTGAATGTGGAGGTGGGGCCGGGGGATAGGGGAAAGAGAGAGACCAGGGAGAAGCAGGGAGCTACAGCCAAAGAGAGCGATGAGAAAAAGCAGCTGTGAAATTGAGGAGAGGGAAGTGGGTCCGATGGGCTTTGAAAGACCACATAAGAGTGAGAGCGTGACATGAGCTAGAAGCAGTGGAATAAATGAAGGTGGCAAAAAAAGGATCAGCAGAGAGATGGAAAAGAGCAGAAGGGAGAGGAGTCGAGCAACAGTAGCAATGGGGCCAAAAGAAGGGTAGATCCCAAATTCATTAGAATTTTGTTTTTAATTCCCAACGTATATTCCCTCTTAAATACGTCAGAGTCAGGTGATGAGGTCTTAATGGTTTTATAGTCTGTTATTATATGTTGAAAGTATTCTTTGGTGCTTAGTAAATAATTGTACACTATTTTCGTGTGCCCTTGATTAAGGATATTGGCAATTTTTTATATTAACAGTCAAAACCCAGTTTAACCAATTAGTCTAATATTCCACATCTTCTCTTTCTTCTTATGTGATCTTTTAACCTAGTGGGCTGTGAACTAGTTCCCAGTCAAGTGTGTATCTATTTCCTTTGTCCTTTCTCTGGAAATGACCAAGGATGGGTTGGATTGTTGTGGGACTTTGTTGAAAGATAGCCCATCTGTTCATAATTGGATAAATTACTCAGCTGCTTCTTTTTTTTTTTTTTTAATTTTTTTTTTCAACGTTTATTTATTTTTGGGACAGAGAGAGACAGAGCATGAACGGGGGAGGGGCAGAGAGAGAGGGAGACACAGAATCGGAAACAGGCTCCAGGCTCTGAGCCATCAGCCCAGAGCCCGACGCGGGGCTCGAACTCACGGACCGCGAGATCGTGACCTGGCTGAAGTCGGACGCTTAACCGACTGCACCACCCAGGCGCCCCTACTCAGCTGCTTCTATTGACCTTCTTCCATGGTTTTCAGTGCTACTAATTAGGTCTTCTTAATTACCTATTTTTTGGTAGTTTAATCTGATGTTCTGGAAAAGAGGAATTAAATACTTGAGATAGTGATTAAAACCATGAAAGAGAAGCAGCTTTTGCTCAGGTGTATGATATGTGATCTGTAAATTTTAGGGGTAGGGGTGACAAGTGCAAGCCTTACCACTGTCCCATCCAGGCCATGTCTTTCCTGTGAGGAGAGTTCCGCTCTGCTGGCCTCTCCCACCGACCCCTTCACCTGCCCCAGTACACATGCAGGGAGTCACGGGGCAGTTTGATGGGAAAGGGCCCAGGCTTTTTTTTTTTTTGTCTTTTCTTTTTTTAAGTTTATTTATTGTGAGATAGCACATGAGCCCGTGTGAACAGGGGAGAGGCAGAGAGAGAGGGATAGAGAGAATCTCAAACAGGTTCCACGTGCTGTCAGTGCAGATCCCACACGGGGCTCCATCCTCCAAACCTCGAGATCATGACCTGAGCTGAAATCAAGAGTTGGACACCAGACCCACTGAGCCAGCCAGGCGCCCCCGGACCTAGGCTCTTTTAGCCAAATAGAGAACAAAAGCATCTCTCCAAGGAGGAGGAAGGAGGAGGTGCTTTGCTCTGTGAAGGGAGCCTGTAGAAGGAATTAGAGTGCTCTTTGGGGAGTTAGGAGTCCTGGAATGGGGGAGAGTTTGAGAAGCTCTGACCCTGTGCTCAGCAGGTATTAGCAGAGACTGGGGTCTTTGTCTTCAAGGGACCATCAGTCCAGTGCGTAGACTCACCACTGCCGCGGACCGTGTGGGCTTCACTGGGATAGGAGAGTGTTCTGAAGAAATGAGCAGAAAAGCCCGACTGTTGATCTTCACGGAGGAGCTTAATCCTGCTGAATCCCCGTTATTTCAGCGTGCAGCGGAGGACTGGCTTTGCCACAGAGTGAATGCCTTCTCCTGGGTGTGTGTCTGCAGTGCAGGGAGGGGCCATGCTGTTTTGAAGCCCCGAAAGCCATCGCCACGCTCAGGAGTGAGGGAGTGACTTTCAAGACGGATCTTGGCTGAGAAAGAAGTTTTTCATGTGTTCTTTTTTAATTCCTGACCTGAGGAATCATGTGAAATCATGACCTGAGCCAAAATCAGGAGGTCACTTGACCAGTGAGCCACCCAGGTGCCCCTGCTTTCTTTTTTTAATTCAAGATTTTTAATCCAATCAAGATCGGAAGATACTGCAACGTTTAAGTTCTGGGAGGATCAAATAGAGAGGAATAGTGGAAGTTATTATTATTTTATAAGTAGTAACATAAAATTCATGATATGGCAGGAAATAACAGGACCCAAACATAAAGTTGGAGGTAAAGAACCTAGCTAAGATTAAAAGTTATTCCTCGCCTTTTACGGAGAAGATGGCATAAACACCAGGTACGACTGCAGGAATACTTTACAATTTAACAGTTGAGGGGCACCTGTGCGGCTCAGTTGGTTACGTGTCCAACTTCGGTTCAGGTCATGATCTCGTGGTTTGTGGGTTCGAGCCCCACGTCGGGCTTTGTACTGACAGGTCAGAGCCTGGAGCCTGCTTCAGATTCTGTGTCTCCTTATCTCTCTCCCCCTCCCCAGCTCACACTCTGTCTTTGTCTCTCTCTCTCTCCCT